TAAAAAGAATTTATACTTTGTAGTTACTTTTTAATAAATGCTGCATTTACAAAGCAAATGAAAAATATTGAGATTTTGAAATTTTTATTTTTATTATTTTAGTTACTTTTTTGGGTATTTTGAAAAATCGATTAGTTTGGTGAAGTTTGTTGGATCCAAATAATGAATCTCTTTTTAACTAATTTCATATTGCACCAATTTCTCTGATTGTGATTTGAACCTCAAATTCAAATATAAGAAAACAATCCAAGGAAAAGTGCAATCTTAACTGAATTTTATATTTTATTTTAAAATTTTGTTTTCTTTGCCTATATTTTAATTATTTATTACATTGATTTTGTTAGTCGATTTTAATTGGTTAAATTCAGTTTAGTTTAGTTTTAATTTCTTTTCTTTTCTTTTTTCTTATAAAAAAGAGGTTTAAATATTAGCTTTATTCTCAAAATGTTTATTTTCATCTCATTTAGTTCATTTTAATCTTTTCTGGTCCATCTATCTACCATCATTTGAATCCTTTAATAAAAATATAGAGACTAATTTTAACCTAAAAAGTAATAGAAACTAAAAATAAAATTGAACTTTCAATTTGAAACCTTCATAATCTGTTAATTATTACTTTAAAATTAAAAATTAATTCGACACCTATTAACTGCCCATTAATAAACTAATATCATAAATTTGACAAATTCAACAGATAAAAAAGACTCACTCAACATGCAATTTGATTTTAACATCTCCAATTGCTTACAGAAAAAATTTATGTGCCAGTGCCATGGGTTTAAATTAATTTATTCTTTTGGAAATGATATAAAATTTCAAAATAGAAAGTGTAGAAATTGACTCTTGTTAAATGTAACCATTTATTTTCACCATGTTTTATGCTAAACTTTCAACTTCGTCCTAACTAAATTAATAGTACTGTAGAGCTACTTTTTTGGATGTCTGAGTTAGAATCATAATTGTAGGGAGTCTCTTGTTTAGATATTGCCCTTAATATATATACTCATGATTCAGTCTTATCGTTGGGTTCAAAGTCCAGAGGCCGCCAATCCAAATCAGTCTAGACCCAATCCAAACTTGACCTAAGATCAATATTTGACCAATCCAACACAACTCAGACATTCTATCAATTAGATTAGATATGGATCTTCGTTTTTTAAATTAGGTCGGCCTATAAACCAATCGGTTTGAGTCGTATTTGGATCGGTCCGTTAAGCCAATCCAAAATCAAATCTAATAATTATTAATATATATATATTATTTATTTATTATCGCTAAAAAACATTAAAAAAAAAACATAAAAACACACCATTTAAAACTTCCTGATTTGAAAAATATTTAAAAAATAAACTCATATATATGAGTCGATTAAATGTCTATCCAAATGGTCAATCCAACTTTGTCCAATCGAGTTAGGCCTATAGATTGGACAATGAGACTAGGTTTGAGTTCTAAAGCCGATCCAAGCTAGACCCAAATAGTACTTGAGGCATGTAGGGTTTGGACTTGGACAAAGCTTGGGTCGTTGCTTTTTTAGACCGAGTTGACTTGGTAAGGTCTACTCATGATCTTCTCCTTCCCTAACTATTTTGTGACTTTATTTGCATTTTGAATTATGTTTATTTTAAGTCACATCATTAACATTGGTAAAATGTTTATGTGACATCCTATTAAATAGAGCGATACAACTATCAACTAATTAAAAATTTAAAAAATTTTGATGAATGAAACAAACAACTACCAATAACATTTTAGTTTAGAATTAAAGATCTCAACTATATAAGTAAAGAAAACACAAAATTTTTATTAATAGGAGACATATTGATAAAATAAAAAACAAAATCATGTTGCTCTATATTTAAGGTGAACCATTGAGTTGAGCTGCATAATGTGAACCATGGGCCATTTATAGGAGATAGAGTTTAGACTAAGCCCACCAATAGAGTTGGGTCATAAGGCCCATATTGATACGACAATATAACAGAAGTTAAACACCTTAGTGATTTATCTTTACTGAGAAGATTAAATTATATATATTATTATTCTCATTCAATATATACCCTATTAAATATCATTCCCATTTGCAACATATACTCAAAATATGTTCCATATCAGTAGCTTCAAATCATTCATAATCCTGTAGGTTGTCCTTCAAAGTATATACAACAAAATATATCCAAAATATACTCCATATTCTTCGAGTAAGCTGTCCACAAAACATATAATGCATTATTTAACGTTACAAAATATATGCAGTATATACCAAAAATATAATTTCATATCAATAACTTCAAATCATTCATACACTGTATGCAAGTGAATTGCCAAAAGTTACGAAGAATGCTAGCGAAATGCAGGATGTGGAAATAAAGTCGGACACTAGAAAAATAGTGGGAAATTTGACTGAATAAGCATTATGTATAGCCTTTTTAATATTTTAATCGCACTTTTTAAAACATAAGTTTTTTAGGCATTTGTTGTTGCCAAATAACCATCATGTCCCTCTTTTTATGTTTCTCTCTGTGTCCTCTCTCTCATCCCTCCCCGTTCTTCGGTTCCCATTTTTTCTCTCAACCATCTCCCTTATTTTTCTCTCATCCCACCATCTCTCCCCCTTCATGGAGCGATTAAAAAACTTGTTCATTTTGAGTAAACTGATTGTGGTGGTGGTGGTTGATTATTCGAGAAAGTGGGTGGAACATAAGGCTGCTTGTACTGCTAGTTCTACCCTTGGGTTACTCCACTAGAACTTCCTTGACCTTCTCATGAAAAGTTAGGATGGTGTCTTCACCTCAAATTGTACGTGTTTAAATAGGGGATAAAGTTCTGGTTGTTCCCGTGACCTACATAATAAATAGAAGTTGGATTATGTGGACAATTTTCATAAAGATGGTTATCATTACAATAAGAACAAACAATTTCATTAATTTGCTAAACTGAGCATAGTTCAAATGGTTAAGGCACCTATCTCTAACCAAAAGGTCATGAGTTCAAATCCCCACTCTTCACATGTTCTATAAAAAAGAAAAAAAAAACAATTTCATTAATTTGGCAAACGAGAGAAGGGGTAGGCAACAGAAATTCTTGAGTATTTGATCCACATGGACAATTAAAGCCTAAACCAACCATAACCTTGAGTCAAGTTTTAACTTATAAAAATAACCTTAAGTGATAAAAGAAGAGAAAAACACATTTTGCCTTGTTGAATTTTTAAAAACTTTAGCTAATTATCCATAAGCGAGCTTGGGGAAATAAATTTAGCTCATAACTTTAGAGAAAAAATAGAATTGAACATTGATGTAAATAAAAGACATGATCAAAAGATTAATATAATTAAGATAAGTTGAAAATGGTGGAGTTGTAACATGAATGACCCTAACTCGTTCTCTTTTAAGATTGGGGAACAGTACTCAGTCAATTCCACAAGGTTGTGTGATTACAACTTCAAAGATAGAGAGAAAGAAATAAAGATGAACGAACTTACTGGAATTTAAGGTTAAGCTTAAAAAACAAAGAATGAAATTGAAAATAAACTAAGTTAAAAATAACAACACTTAAGAACTAAGGGAAAAACGTATTAAGCTGATAACAAAGTGTCTAAAGCTGAAAAAATATCACTTGAGGATGATGAATAAAGTGAGGGAGATGTATTTATAGGGGCTTCAAGTCGGTTAGGAAGTTGAGACTTTCGTGGGGAGTCATCCTTTAAAACATCTTTAGGTTGGTTTATTGTTGATTAGCCTTCTTCCTTGCATTAAAGACACGTAGAGGGACTGGGAAAGATTTCTAACCACACAAAAACTCGTGTTTCACATTAAGGGCATTTTCGGAGTTGGGCAAGGCACCAGGCTCCTAGTTCGGATTCTTTCTACACAAAATCACAATTTTCATTAGGAATCAACTTTAAATGATGTAAAATCGTTCTATATGTATAACCTAAGATAACTCCGAATAAAAGGTTTTGGATACTAAAAAGCTTAAAATACGGTTTCTGAGTGTAAAACGATAGAAAATAGCACCTAACTAGTTTGTTTTTACCCTTATAAATATGAAAAGTTTATAGCCGAATATAGTTTATATCTCCAAATAAGTCTATAGTCGAAATTTGAATTTATTGCATTTTGGATGCCGACAACTCCATTATCATTTGACCTCATAGTGGGGGCAAATTTCCTCTCATAATGCTCTTCGGCAAATCTTAAATTGATTGAGCAAAATTTTGAATTTGAAACGTAGTTAAATCTAGTCAAAAATTAGAATGACATCATGGGTAAATTTTTTTGTAATAAATTTTATTCTTTAGCAGAATACACAGAGTAAATTTAGGGACTATGGAAATAATTGATTTGGGGCCACAATAATTAAAAGTTTTACAAAATTTAGAACACTAAATCTTTTACATTTAAATAAAAAAAACTAACAATAATAAATATAAATGTCATAAATAAGGATAAATTCGACATTAATAAAAATTACTAAATCCATAAATCTAAAAGTATAAAATTGAAAAACCTTAAACATTTGTAAAAATAAGTTTTTAAAACAACTCGTCCAAGACATTATCTTTTTTTTTTTTTAAGTATTATAACATGTGGGGTAAGAATTCGAACCCACAGCCTTTTAATTTTGGATATATGTCTTGAACTATGCTCTAAACTAATGTTTCTATTTCTTAATTCTGGTTTCCTCATTTTTAATAAAGAAAAATAAAATTGTGTTTGATAACTACTTTTTTATTTAATTTTTTATTGAAAAAAAGTTAAATTAAATATTCAAAATTTTAATGTTTATGTTTACTTTTAAAGATGTGTTATGCATTTTTATATATCATGAATGATAAAATATGTTTTATTTATACTTTAGAGACAAGAGAAAACAAGAACAAGATAGGAAATTTTAATTTGATCATTTCTAAAATTTCTACATAATTTTAAAAAAAATGAGAAACCAGAGACCAGAAACAAAAACAGTACACATGCATTACTATAAAACTAGAAACAGAAACTAAAATGGGCCTTATATGTTGAATCAAAGCCCAACAATGATAACATCATCAGTTAGAATTATACAGAGTTACCATACATTATATATACATACATATATATTTCATATCATATTTTCCTTTTCTGTACAGAGATTTTCTAACACAATAAATCATCTAACAAACTACATAACCCTTTTTGACGATTTTCTTCCTTTTCTATCCTTTACAATGTGACTTTCCACCATAATTACCTGAAGCTGAGAAGTCCTACAGCCATGGAAACTTTCTGCATTAAGATTTCCACAGCTACACTATTTTTCAGCCTTGAAATTTAATTTCTTCGAGCTGGTACGAAGCTCACCGAACACGGATAACATACGGCTGAGCTTGAGGCGGTAGGGACGACGAACTCCGGATTATGTTGGATGTACTAGGAGACACTGGCATCTGATCATAGTCACCCAAAACAAGAAACGATACGCATACTTGAACAATTACTAAGAGAAAAATAATATGAAAATGTTTGTTAAACTGTAAAGGAAATGATGCATTGGATTATTTCGGACACTTACGAGAAGTCGACGGCGATGAACTGTGGTGACTACTTTGAACATGACGTATATCGGTAGAAAGATCCCGAAAGTTCGCAGGCATATCGACTGTCGTAGAAGAAGGTAATTCAACTTTCTGCAGAAACATTGGTTTGGCATTTGTTTGAAAACAAAAATGGAACATGAGATTTCTTACCAGAAGCATGGGGAAAGAGTAATCACCACTTTCATTAAATATGAGGGGAAGAGTGTGCCTCAAGACCAGAAGAACCATGAACTAGAGAGAAACAAAGGTTCAGATTTTGATATTTTCATAACACGGGTTATTTCGGCACACAGCTTTCTGCAGCGGTTAAGGTTATTGTGCACTTGAAATCACTATTATGAAGATCACGATTTTGAATTTCAGGTATTAAGGGAGAAAGAGAAATTACAATGATAGCAACCGAGTGGCAGCAAAGCACACTGTTAGCAGCAGAAGTGGAGAATTCATCATATTCGGAATCAGCAACGTTACGGTTTGACGAAACCATTGCTGCTATATAGCTAGGACTACCCAAGTCCCGTCTCGAAATCTCCCAGTTTCCCCTGCAAGGAAAAAAGGGTCAATCAAAGAACTTCGAGAAATTCTCAAGTTGATGCAGGGAGAACATACATCAGATGAATTGTTAGCAAGAACATTACCTGAAGTTCATTGGGATACGCCCCATTTCGAACAATGGAGGAGGAGCTGTGTAACCTGGTTTGAATTGCTGCAAACCAAAGTACCATGGTTAAGTTTTATTTTACCAATTGCAAAACAAACCAATACGCTAGGGCGAAATGATGATGGCGCTAAATGAACTGCTTCGAAAAGTAACAAAAAACTAGGAGAAAAAGAACTAAAAAACACCATACTCCACCTGGTGGCATATTTCACAAATTGTGTCACCCTTCTCATTGCACCACTTCTGTATGCAACTCCGATGCGCATACTGCAAAATCAAGGGACAATTTCAACCATTACATACAAGAAAACATGTCAAGACTCGAGAGAACTTACATTAGATTATCCATATATTATCTCGTATCAGCAACTTTAGGAAATTATTACACTATGATAGAACTTTTGAGGAAAAAGATATTGTTTCACAGGAGAAACATTCGGGTACCGAGGAACATAATCGATATAGGCATCGGGGAGAAAAGATGTGGCCCAGAAGCACATTTGGATAACTTGATTTGTGTTTAAAGATGCAAACTTCAAAGCAATGATGCATTAGACATTATCTGTAGTGACATATTGATGTTGCTGAAGTGAATTTTAATGAAAACTATAGCACAATCAACATGCTCCAAAGACATTTTGTTACTAGGCTCCATATTTTGAATCAAGTGCAAAGTTAACAAGACCGAGGAAGCAGAAACTTCAAACAAGCCATTGAGACATGAAGAAAACAACAAGAACATCACCTTAACATATCATGTTAATGACTATTAAAATGGAAATTCGACCAATTGAATTCAATGATCAGGTAATGAGTTTCATCAACAAACCTTCAGGCTGCCACAGCAGGAGCAGGGCGTTTCCATATTCGAGTCTTCATCCTCATCCTGGCATATTCTACATTCCACCATTTTCTTTGGGGATGGTATATTTTCAAACTCCATTTCTGGGGAAGATTTGTCCCTCCTCAAACAATCCATGGCAGAGGATGTGGCCTCCGTCGACCGCTTTCGGCTCTCGATAGCTGCTTCCAACCTCGACTCGGTCAGCAACCGATCAACCAGCAAAACAAAGTGATCCCCCATACTAAAAACTCCCGATATCAGGAAAACGATTTCACACAATCTCTAACTGACCAAATACCATAGAGATATGAGAAACCAAACCAAGCCTTAGTTCTTTACAATCTGGGTCATGTTCTAAAAACACAAGTCCTACAAGAACACATGAGTGGCAATAACAAAACCAGACAAAATAAGAAATACCAGCTACAACAAATAAAGACTAAAGAATACCCATGTCATTCATAGAGCTATATTCCGATTTAAAAGCAAACCCAGAGAAAGAAATGAAGAACTGATGAGGGAAAAATAGGAAAAAGGTAGAGGCAAAGATTTTAAACAAGAGAAAGGCTATGATGGAGGAAAACAGAGGAGAAGAGGAAACCAAACAAGCCTTAGTTCTTTACAATTTGGTCATGTTCTTCAAACACAAGTCGTAAAGAACATGCGAGAGGCAAAGGCAAAACCAGACAAACAAGAAATACCAGCTACAACAAAAAAAGACAAAAACCCATCTCATTCATAGAACTATATTCTGATTTAAAAGCAAACCCAGAGAAAGAAATGAAGAACTGAGGAGGAAAGAACAGGAAAAAGGTAGAGGCAAAGGCTTAAAACAAGAAAAAGGCTATAATGGAAGAAAACAGAGGAGAAGGAGAAAAGACCCAAAAGAATCGAAACAGGAAAAAGGAATATAAGAAAAGGGAAACCAATAAAGAAAGGAAGAAAGGGGGGAGAAAGAAACTTACAAGAAGGGGATGGAATCTTCTTCAAGCAAAGAAAGCTCGAACCCTTTAATTTTTTTCCCCTCCGCTGATGTTTCTGAACAAAATTAGGCTGAGTTTTCGGGAAGAAAGAAAGATAAAATGGGGCGACACCTGGATGAATGTATTCCAAGATTTGTGGCATCAAAGGAAAGGAAAATGAGCTATAAAAATGGGGTTCTGCCCATTTCTCTCAGCTTGTAATTTCTGCAAACACTTCGCGTGCGTGTGTTATATTGCTATTTGCTATTATATGTTAAGCGGCAAACCTTAGAGAAAGAGAAGGCCGCCATGATTGCTGTGTCTCTTTTTGGCCTCACCGTTTTGCGGGATTAACCCGCATCATTGCATGAGCTAATCAATGGGGTCGTTCGTGGTTTTTCTTTTACCACTTTTTTTGTTTTCTGATGAACAACATCAAGAAATTGTGAGATTCTGTTGGGGTTTCTTTTGTTCTCCTTTTGAATTGCATGAGAATCAACATCCGGATGATGTGCTTCTTATAGATTCAAATGGCTTCTTGAAGTACAATGGAGAATTATATCTTCAATAACAAAAAGTAATGGAAAATATTGAGTTCTAGATTTTGACATAATTACTTCACATTTAGGCTTAGACTCTTATGCCAAATATATGTATTGATTTCACCCTAATATTAATTTTTTATCAATTTAATATCTATTTTTCAAAAAAGTTTCAATTTTTTTTTCTTTTTATATTTGAATTGCATGATACTCAGTGAGTTCGCATGAATTTAGAGGAGGGTTTAAATCATATAAGAAAAACCATTCTAATTCATATCTCAGCTGCTTTTGAGAAGTTAGTAGAAATTTAAAGTTTGTACTTTATACTCAATTTCTTCTTCCAAATTTACGTTAACGTTAACTCACTCTGAGGTTAGAAACTTGAAACGACCAAAAGATCAAAAGATCGAATTCTCACCTCTACAATTTTTGAGAAGTTAGAGAAATTTAAAATTTATATTGTACTGAAAAAATTATGACGATTTGTGATATAATAATAATTACTTTATTTACTAAGTTATGATGGGATGTAGCATAAAATTTCAATCTTCCCAATCCATCAATGGGAGCTTTTTTTGAGAAATTAGGTTTTTAATTAGGAATAATACCTAAACCATAAATCCAATTTTAAAATTGTATTAAATTCAAGAAGAGAGGTGTAGTTGAACCAACCATGTTCTATTATTGCCTCATTCACATTAATCATCAACCAATCAAAAATTTAGGTTATTATCGTTTACACGTGTCACTCAAGTAGTGGCTGCATGGCTCATTAATAATGAATGTTAATATTGTTATTATTTTTTCATATATCATGGAGTTGATCGAGTTACAGAATAAAGGGAAATTAAAAATCCTGTTAAAATATATTATTTTTCTCTGTGGGGTTTTTTTTTTCCTTTACATTTTGTTCTCCTATATTTTATTTTTACATGTAGGACAGTTCTTGAAAAATAAAATTTAAAAGGTAAGGTAAGTTTGATTTAAAATAATAAAAAATGAATTTACATAATAGATAACAAAATAGAGTAAAATTATCAAGGTTAAAAAAAACACATTTTTAACCATAATATTTCAAAACTTGCAATGTTTTGTGGTTTCTGGGGCTTTTTTTTTTTAAATCTATATATATGTAATCACTATAAGCATCTAATTTCAAAAATAGCTCTTGATTTAATGATAGTATATATGTATTTTCTTTTTTAGAAAAATCGGGAGGTGTTAGTAGGTCTATAAATTATCGGAAATTTTCATATTCATAACTTTGTCGTTTTATTTTTAAAAAAATGTATAAAAACTAAAGGGTAAATTGCATAAACCACCCCTGAAATATAATAGTTGTTGTAATTATACCTAAACTTTCAATTGTAAAAATTAGACCCTCAAACTTTCCTAAAAAGAAAAAATTAAACCCTTAACTTTGAAAAGTAAAAATTAAACCTTTAATCTTTCCATAAAATTGCACCAACAATAAAAATTAAATCCTATTTAAAAAAAAAACAACTGGATCTATGAAATTGGAAGCCATCATGGTGTTGGTTGGAAATTGGAAGCTCTCCCATGTTGTGTAGATCAAATCCCCACCATTGCAGTTGGATTTGGAAGCTCTCAAGTATTTAAATTAATTTGTTGAAAACCTCGTTTGCGTGGGAATGCTACAGCTTCTGTTCATCAGGAGACAGAGTCTCAAATATTTAATCTGACACAATATATTCGACGCCTGAAAAATGTCAGAGAGAAAATCAAACTTTTGCGTGAAATTTTGGTTTCGAAAAACATTCTTAGAAGGTCAAAGGTTTTGGTTGGAGCAGGTCGGAGGGTGCGTCGGTTAGAGTTGTCGAGCGGTTGATCGGAGATAGATGATTGGCAGATCAAACGACGTAGTTGAAATGTTGAGGAACCAAACGGAGAACCGGCCGGAAATTGGAAGGTGGAGAAGGTGGAGAAGGCGGAGAAGCTTCTAGGCTTGGACGGCGACCCAAGATGTGGGGAAGAAGAGAAGGAAGAAACATGATTAGGAATTTAGGCTGCCAGAAAAGAATGGTGATGTTAAAAGGGAATTTGCATAATGGAGGAAGAAATTTGTTTAGTCAACTCGTGGATTCTCCATTGGGTTGTCAAATTCAACAACTTTTAGTGAAATTAAAATTCAATAAACATGAAGAAAAATTTCGCTGTGAAATTCTAAAATAGATCCAATTTTTTAAAATTTTAAGGTTTAATATTTACAATAAAAAATTTTAGAGGGTGTAATTTTATTTGTGAAGGTTCGAGGGTTAATCTTTACTATTGAAAATTTAGGGGTTTAATTTTTTATTTCATAAAAGTTCGAGGGTTTAACTTTTACCATTGAAACTTTAGGGGTGTAATTATAACACTTACTATAATTCAAGGGTGATTTATGCATTTTACCCAAAACTAAATAGTTAAAAAAAATTATAGGGACGGAATTGTTATTAAGAATAATTAGAGTTCTTTATTTTGAAGCCAAAGATGAACTAAATCACAAGAGAAGAATGGTAGAATTGGTTTCAAAGTTTACTCTTTCTAACTCTTATTTCTCACTCTATGTCACTGAGTTTTCTTCCAAGATTGCCTTTTTTTTTTTTTTTAACTTATGGTTTTATAATAAGCAAACTGATTATTTTTCTAATTAAAATAATTATTGGGAAAAGTTGGATTTTGATTGTAAGACATGGAGCAGCTTGAAAGATGTAGGCCTAACAGGAAAAGCTTTGGGCTGCTAATGGGCTTATTACATTGTGGACCTTGTAAACTCTACAGTTCTTTCAGTATTCATTTTTAATAATATTTTCACGAATAATAATAATTTTTTATTTTTTATAATTTAGTGGAGCTAGGGCTTAGAACCTCGGACATTATGGTCAAGAATATATATCTTGAGTTGACTTATTTACCAATAATAATGCACTTTTTTTGGCTAGATATTGGAGGTTATCATATATAAGTAATATAAATCTAAAACAAAAATAATAAAGATAAAGATAAAAAGAATTACATTATTTTAATTATTTAACTTTTAGAGATACTAAGAAGTGCTAGTGACTTAGTATATAACCTTTAAATTCATTTTCATTTTTCCTTTGGTTTTAGTACAATATATGAGGAGGGAAATCGAACTCACAATCTTTTGATTGGAGATATGTGTCAATTACCCGCAATGAAGTCCTCGTAATGATTAAATATTAAAAAAAAAAGATGATATATGACTTTAAAAATATATATTTTTATGAGGTTGTCCATTATCGTAAACCATCATTTAACAGGACAATTTTCTAAAAAATGAAAAAGAAAAAAATTGCGTCATGTAAATTACTATAAAATGAATAAATTTTCAATTTTATGGATGGGATGGTATATTAATTCAGCAAATTAAAACATATAATATTGAGAAATATTGGGCTGTTTTAAGACGTGGACAAACCATCATTTAATAATTGATAACTAATTTTTTTTTTAAGTTTGCATTTTTGTGAAACATTTAATAAGTGTAAGGACGAGATTAATCTGTTTCAAGTAAGGAGTCTAATCTAAGTTGCTCCTTTTTGTCAAGGCCTGTAGTTATTAGTATTTAAAGCTAATCTTACATTAAAATGGATTTGAATTGGGTTGAGATTCTGGTTAGCTTCTACTGCGTGTATCCAGT